AAAAAAAAAAAAAAAAAAATTGAATGAAAATTGTATTGTGATGAGACATACGTACGAGGGAAGCTTTGAGTGCAGATATGTTGTACTATGTTCAGTATTATGCGATTGACTAACTTGAGAATAGGGTTGGTTTAAGTGGTAAGCAGTTTGATATCGTTTAAGCAAGTTCTGGGGTTCGAGTCCTTGTGGATGCAGAAAACTTTTGTTGGAAGATTCACCCACCACTGTCAGGTGTGCGACCCGACGGATTAGTCGGGGCATAGCTCTAGATACCGTGGCTGACTACCAAAAAACAAGATTGACTAACTTGTTAGGCCCACGACTTATTTTTTTTATTTTCTTTGTTATTTATATTCTTTTTTTATTTTATTTTTTAAATTAGTATTTATTTATCTGAATACGTATTCTAATTAGTAAAAATAGATACGTCACTAGAAACTTGAAGCAAATATTAAACAACTTGAACCAAAATATCGTTATTTATTTCAAACTATAGTGAATATCTATATCTATATAATAGACGATTTATTTTGTTAAAAATGGACGAAGTTTTCCCGCTTAAAATTTTTTGGATAAAATTGAAAATATTGCTTGTATAACAATTCCGTGGATAATTTTTTTAGCAAATATTTTGAAAATATTGTTTCTATAACAATCCCGTGGATAATTTTGTTAGCAAATATTTATTGATCCCGTAGATCTTGCTTGGCTGTGAGCAATGATTTTATTAGCAACGATTTTGTTAGCAAATATTTTGTTAACTTTAGGAGGATATATTATATTTTGGACGATAGATTTTGTTAGCAAAGATTTTATCTTTTAACTTACATAAATACAGTATCAAAAAAATTAGAACGATTCTAATTGCATTTTTGTATAAATATTAATATAAACATATTATCATCTTTATGTCAATTATAATTAATTTATTAAGTAAAATACACATATTATCATCTTTACGTGAGATGTGATTATATAAATCCTGAATAAGATTGACACTACGGCCACAGAAAATATATTTTATACGTACTCAGGAAACAAAGCTTTAAAAAAACACCTCCCCTTTTTTTGTCGATAAAAAATTTGACGAACACATTGCCGCAACTGGCTCTTAAACTTCGTCTAATTAGGATGTACGAAAGGATTACAACCCGTGGAGGAAACGTGATTCACTTTATTGAGTGCATCTTTCATAATTCCGAAGTACGTATGTTGTAGAATATTATTAGTCTAGCTATATAATGTGCTATTCATATTTATTGTCCAATATTATTAGTCTAGCTATCTAATGTGCTATTGATATTAAATCTAGCAATATGTAAATTTTTCTTTTTCTTTTTAATTTGATAGGTTTATGGTGTGTGGTTTACAAAAATTGCTATTTTAATCATACACACATTAGTTTCATATACACGCATATGATACAGAAGGTTTCATCATACACACGCACATTAATTTCACAAAATTGTTTTTTTTATTTGGTATGTTGCATATAAAATTTAAATACTTCTTATGTGTTCGTAGGGATCGGAGATCAGATTCAAGGTACTATAAAACAAAAGGATAGAGATATCAAGAAGACTCTTGTGGAAGGAAAAATTTATGCTATAAAAAATTACAACTTGGAGGAGTGACAAGGTCAGTCGCTAACACATGTCGGTCTGTTTTTAAAAAATCATGTATTCAGTCATGGACAATTGTATGTGGCCGTATCACGGGTAACCAATTGTAGTGGTTTAAAAATCTTAATGTGTGGAGATCAAGCTTCTATGACTCATACCGAAAATATTGTGTATAAGGAAGTTTTTAATAATATCTAAATATAATGAGTTTGACTTACTATTTTTTTTTTTTTAAATTAATAGCTTCTTACAATAGGTTGTCTTTGAACTATATGTGATATTTGAACTATATGTGATATGTTATCTCCTTTTGATTTGCAACTACCTTTAAAATTCATGTAGGCATCAGTTACCACTTGTGATTTCCTATGTGAAGGTAATGAGTGTTAAAAGAGTCAATGACTATTAGTAACATACACGTCGGCCTATTATGTTTCAATAAATGAAAAACTCTATTTTGTGCTATCTGACCCAACATTGATCTTGGTTTTAAAATATTAGTTTGTGAATACCACTGTGCCCGGTCATATCATCACTCTATGTATAACGGAAGTTTTAATAATATTAAAATAAAATTTCATTTTTTCAATTGATTTGCAAAAAATATAAGTTTTTAATTAATTAACTTACGATAATTATTGTTATTGAACCATATCCCTGTGCATCGCACGGATTTAACACCAGTTGTATGCTAAATGCAAAATATATTTTGCATGCCTAACATATCAATATACTAAATTTCCCATCTACACTGAGCACGTTAACCCTAATTACATGCATTCAGAGATATAAAATTTCATTGAATTTTCGTATTAAGTATAAGGTCTTACGTATAAGAAAACCACCACATCTTACTAGGCTCTAATATTTTTTATTTTTTTTCACTTAGCGGTAAGCACAAATAATTGTAGAATTTATGAGCTTAACTTCTATAGAATGAAACTTTAAGAAATCAACTTATCCGCATGTTTATTCTTAATTTATTACCAAACATGGATTATTTGTTTAAATAGACTTTTCCATCCAAAAGTCCACTTAAAAGTTTTTCCAAACAAACAATAAGTGTATATGTGCATGCGTGTGTGCGCTTGTGTATGTGTGCAAGTATGTTTGAAGAGTGCTTTCAAACAAGCTATAAGTGTGATTGTTGTCACGCCCTTATTCCTCGAACGTTGGTTGCGTGCGGACCTAGCCCCTTGTGCGCCCTTCGCAGCTAGCTAAGTTAGCCCTACTGTGCTCAGATCGTGCTCATTGTGTACAAGTGCTTGGAAAGAGAATGTGGGAAAGATATGCAAGAAAGAATGTAGGGAAAGCTTGTACTACTATTCACACAAACTTTGTACAAGAGAGCTTACTTGTTGCTTGGATGCTTTGTAAATGAGGGGGTCTCTCCTATTTATAGGCACTACCTCCTCTAAGGAACCATCTAGATCCTACAAGGGTCTTGAGTGTTCTAGACCCTTTTACAAAAATCCTACTTCTAACGCACAAGTCCTAGAACCTTCTACAAAGCTCTAGGCGCTTCATGTCCCTACTACAAGTATCTACATAACTCGGGCCTTCTAGAAGCTCCGAGACAAAACTAAGCCTCACCTAAGGCATCTATGTACAAAACTTAGGTATGGTGCGGCCTAAGTCATCAATAGGTCGGACAGCCCCGTGTGCGCGCGTATCCAGTCCTCTGTGCGTGCGTACGTGCGTGCTCTCTGTCGGTGTGCGCGAGGGGCGACTCGAGTCGGCGCGGGGCAGCTCGAGTCGACGCGGGTCAGGTGGCGTGGAGCGTTACATTCTTCCCCACCTGTTGTGTCGGTGTCCTCGTCGTCTCGTATCTCTCGAGGGTATATTTGAAGCAATAAGTCCTCCTCGATCTCCCATGAAGCTTCAGACACGGGGAGGCCTTCCCACTTGATTAAGTATCGTTTTTTTGGCGATACCCCTCGTCGTCGTACTATCACTACAAAAAAATAGAGTTCTAGTGAAGAATTTTTTTGTCACTATGTTGTCACTATATCTACTATCACTATATCTACAATTGTTGTCACTATATCTACTGCCAGTATATTTACAATTGTAGATATAGTGACACTATATCTACAATTATTGTCACTATATCTACAATTGTAGATATACTGACAGTAGATATAGTGACAACAATTGTAGATATAGTGACAGTAGATATAGTGACAACATAGTGACAAAAAATTCTTCACTAGAACTCTATTTTCTTGTAGTGTATGTCGGATGTGAGCACCTCGTCCACTTTCTTGTTGAAAGACTTGATAGTGATTGGCGATGCCCTAGATGATAACCCTCAGCTTGGTCTCCCACGTCCCCTTTGTAAGGGTTCAACATACTCACGTGGAAGACGAGATGGATTTTAAGGGTTGGAGGTAGGTCGACCCGGTATGCTACGTTGCCTACCTTCTTGTCCATCGGGTACGGTCCCTCATATTTCCGTATAAGCCCCTTGTGCAAGCTTCGGAAGGTCTTGAATTGTTGGGGCAATAGCTTCACAAGGACTAAGTCACCTGGGGAGAACTTCTTTGGCCGTCTCTTTGAGTCGACCCCCTTCTTCATTCTTCTGTGGGCCTTTTCCAAGTAAGATCGCGTTAGGTCGGGTTGTTCTTCCCAAGTCTTGACCATCTTTTTGGCCACGAGACTCTTCCCATCTTTAGTAGGTGGGGAAATTGTGTGCGGTGTTAATGGTTGTCGCCCCGTAACCACTTCAATGGGCTTCGCCCAGTCGATTCACCTATCTGCAAATTATATGAAAATTGGGCCACTTCGAGTAACTTGGCCCCAGTCTTGTTGGTTTGCACTTACGAAGTGCCTCAGTACTCAAGGAGTGCATTGGCCCTCTCAGTTTGCCCGTCGATTTGGGGGATGAAACCTTGTGGAGAAATTGAGTTCGGTCCCAAGGATCTTGAAAAGTTCGGTCCAAAGTCGCCCCGTGAACCTCGGGTCCCTGTCACTGATGATGCTCCTGGGTAGCCCCCAGTGCTTGACCACGTTCTTGAAAAATCTGCAGGCGACCTCCTCGGCGGTACAGTCTTTGGTGCATGGAATGAAGGTCTCATACTTTGAAAATCGGTCTACTACGACCATGATCGACCCAAATCCCTCGTACTGTGGTAATGAGCTAATAAAGTCCAATGTGATAAAATCGCACGGTACTGCAGGTATTGGCAACGACTCGAGCATCCAGTCGGGTGCTTGTTCTTGATCTTATCTTGTTGGCACACAAGACAAGTTCTGACATATGTCTCTACATCGTCCTTGAGTTGGGGCTAAAAGTAGTTGGACTCGAGGAAGGCCATTGTCCTCCATTGGCCCGGGTGACCTGCCTACTTATTATCGTGGCACTCTTTCATGAGGTCTCATCTTAGACCGTCCCATTGTGGCACGAACAAACGTCCCCTTTGGCGTAGAAAAGACTGTCCTCTACCCAAAAGTGTTGGGTTTTTCCCTCTTTTGCAAGGCCCATTAGAGCCTTTTTGTTACGTGGTCCCGTTCGAGACATTCTCGGATACAGGAGAGCACGTCCCCGTCAGCCATGCTGGTGGCGGCAAGGTCGGCCTTTCGGCTCAATGCGTCGGCCCCTAGTTTGCTTTGCCCGACTTGTATTTCAACGAGTAGTCGAACTCTGCTAAGAAATCTTGCCATCGTGCTTGCTTTGGGGGAAGTTTCTTTTGGGTTTGGAAATAGCTAGTGGCTACGTTGTCCGTCTTGATGCTGAAATGTGCCCCTAGCAAATAGTGACGCCATACCCTTAAGTAGTGGATTATAGCCGTCATCTCATTTTCTTGCATCGTATAGCGTCGCTCGGCGACATTCAACTTTCGGCTCTCAAACGCTATAGGGTGTCCCTCTTGAACCAATACTCCCCCAATAGCAAAGTCAGAGGCATCCGTTTGAACCTCAAAGGATTTGGTGAAGTCAGGCAATGCCAAGACAAGCTCTTGGCTCACCGCAGCCTTGAGAACTTCAAAGGCTCGTTGGCACTCGTTAGACCATACCCACGATTTACCCTTCTTGAGCAGGTAAGTGAGAGGTGCTGCCCTCGCCGAGTAGCCCAGTATGAATCAGCGATAATAGTTGATCAGCCCTAAGAAGGATCGTAATTCGGTTACCTTTGTTGGCGCTTTCCATTCCATGATCGCCTTCACCTTTGCCCCGTCGATTTTGATTCGTCCATGGCCAATGATATGTCCCAAGAAGTTTACTTCTTCCTGAGCGAAAATGCACTTGGACTCCTTTACATAAAGCTCATTGTCCCGAAGTACCTTGAACACGGTGCATAGGTGATCGGCGTGCTCCTCGAGCGAGTTGCTATAGATAACAATGTCATCCAAGTAAACCACTACTAACCGATCCATATATGGATGAAAAAACTCGTTCATGAGCGTGCAGAATGTACTGGTGCGTTTGTGAGCCCAAAGGGCATCACTAACCATTCGTACGACCCATATCGTGTGACGCACGTGGTCTTGGGTTCATCTCCTTTGGCAATGTGGACTTGGCAGTAACCCTTCTCTAAATCCATCTTGGTGTACACTCGGGCTCCCCTAAGTCGATCAAACAAGTCAGCAATCAAAGGGATGGGATAGGAATTTTTTATTGTTACCTTGTTAAGCGTCTGATAGTCTACGCACATGCCAGTGTCCATCATGTTTCTTCTGGAAGAGTACGGACGCGCCATAAGGTGCACTACTCGGTCGAATTTTCTCGGTCTCCACCAGCTCCTTAAGTTGCCTTCTCAATTCCTCAAGCTCTAGTGGTGACATCCGGTACGAGGCCATGGCAGGCGGCTAGGTGTCGGGCTCTAGTTCAATC